AGGTGAGTGTGGCTGGGGTGAGTGAGGGGCAGGTGAGTGCAGGTGAGCAGGCAGGTGAGTGTGGCAGGTGAGTGTGGCAGGTGAGTGTGCCAGGAGGTGGGCAGTGAGTCCAGGTGAGTGAGGCAGGTGGTGTGGCAGGTGTGGCAGGTGAGTGAGGCAGGGAGTGGCAGGTGAGGGAATTCTTAACCTGTGGAGAACCCTCACTCTATCACTTCCTACTCCCCCCCACCTGGTCCCTTGAGACGTTCCACAGGCGAGAGATCTGGCGTGAGGATCCTGTGATGGACGGGGTGTGTGTGTGTGTGTGTGTGTGTGTGTGTGTGATCTCTGCTCTTCCGTCTCGTCTTCCTCCCTTCCTCCCTTCCCGTCCTCCCTCCGTCCTTCCCTTCCTCCCTCCTTGTCATTAGGTTAAGTTACAGTAGGGAGTAATGAGGTGATCCCTGAGTGACATGTATCGCAATTGGCCTTTATTAGTGTTTTAGTAGAGTGGTGTGAGGCATTGTCATTTACAACTACCGCAGCCGGACTAAACATTTCATGACGCCCTTTTGTGTCTGATTGATCTAAGTGTTAGCCACCTATTATTAACATTAGTGTAGTATAGTCCCCGTCACTAGTGCTCTTACAGGGGCTCGACATATAAACATTCCACAGATCATTACATTGAGGTGTTTGTTTTAATATTTTTTTACTTTGATTCCGTAGTGTGAGTTTCCTTATGTCCAATGTAAACAAACACAGCGCTACCACACGCACTAGTGAAGGTGACTGTACGTGAGGGGCTAAGCGCTGTTAGGTTAGGTTAGGTTCACTGTGTCGAGTAATTTCTGGAGTCTGGTTCATAATGGTCAATATAGGTCATATGAGTAGAGAGTTATTAGATATTACTTGTTTACACACACACACACACACACACACACACACACACACACACACACACACACACACACACACACACACACACACACACAGTCTTCATTTGCGTCACTTTTGAAGGAGACAGTTAACATAATTGATGTCGTCTTCAACACTGTTTCCTGTCGTTACGAAATTTTTTATTTGGTGTGGTGTGGTGTGGTGTGGTGTGGTGTGGTGTGGTGTGGTGTGTTGTGTTGTCCCCGTACACATCAATATAAGCTCTCTACGTCCATACCACGCTCATTCGTTTGGACAGTATTTATACGCAATTGAGAGACGTCACTGAGACACCCTTACGGATTTATAACATGTATACTGCTATGACGTTCCACAGTAGACCCCCTAAAATCCATGTAGTTTATCTCTCTCTCTCTCTCTCTCTCTCTCTCTCTCTCTCTCTCTCTCTCTCTCTCTCTCTCTCTCTCTCTCTCTCTCTCTCTCTCTGCGCTTCCTTACAGCCCAGCAGCACCAATCAGCAGCAGCACCTCCTTCCCTCTAAATCACTGGACGCCATACCTGCTGGCCATTCACCTGTATGATTGCTTCTTCAATGTCATTTATTACGTGCCCATCACTTTATCCTACACATCTTCTTGGCCTTCCCCTTCTCCCTCCTGTCTCTCTCTCTCTCTCTCTCTCCTTCTCTCTCTCATATATCTAAAACATTCCTCTTTCTCCATTCTCACTCCACTCAAGGTAACACTTATCTCTCCCCGTCTCTTTTCTCTACTTACTTTCATTACTTTTGTTCACTTTCACTGTTAGATTTCCCCTTTGTACAGTATACACACTCCTACACACTTATACACACTCATGCACCGTCACCCTCACTTTCACCTCTCCATCACCCTCACTTTCACCTCTCTCCATCACCCTCACTTTCACCTCTCTCCATCACCCTCCCTTTCACCTTTCTCCCCCCCTCACTTTCACCTCTCTCCATCACCCTCACTTTCACCTCTTACTTCCCCCCTCCCTTTCACCTTCCTCCCTCCCTCTCACTTCCACCTCTCCACCCTCACTTTCTCCTCTCACCTTCCCCCTTGCTCTCACCACTCGTATTTCCCCAACCCTGAAAATATTAAACAACTGTACAGTAGTTCTAACACATCCTTAACGTCAACCTCTATTCTTCTAGCGGCTAGTTCATCTCTTCCCCAAACGACTGTAACCTAAGTCACTAACTACCTAAAGAGAACTCTGGTGTTGATAATTATCCCCAAAGATTAATTTTCAGTTTCGTAAAAAAAAAAAAAAAATAAATAAATAAATAAATAAATAAATAAATAAATAAATAAATAAAATAAACACACTCAAGACTTTCCTAAAACAAGAATATGTTTACTCAAGGTCTGGGTGTATCTGTGTTTATACTGCCTGAGGGTGTTGTGGTTGGTAGTGTGTGGTAGGCAGTACTTCAACCTAACCGCAAGTACTGTATGTTTGAGTATATGGGAAAGTACTTGTGTATTGGGGTTCCTGTCACTACGCTGCGTCTGTTAGTTTGTCAGTCAGTCAGTCAGTCAGTCATAGCAATTCTTAGCTACTGACATCACTCTCCTGTACTAGCTTAGCCATCTCATTAGTGTGAACAGGTATACTCAACCACACCTGTGCACATAACACCTGATCATTTTTCCCTTGAGATATATATATATATTTTTTTTTCTTTTACGACTATAATTTTTACATTTAGCTTGTTAATTATTATACGCTATTATACATTATTATCATACTAGACAATAATTATAGGTTAAGGATGATAGGTCTTTCTGCGTGATTGTATTTATTTAATGTTCAATAATTAATCGCCCTCAAATATATAAATAATAATAATAATGATAATAATAATAATAATAATAATAATAATAATAATAATACAGCAGTAGTAATAAAAAAACAATCAAACAGCTTCTGTGAGTGTGAGAACGTCTGGCTTAAAGTGACATTAATGACGATAGTTTCCCTTCCCTTCCCTTCCCTTCAGCTCTCCCTCCCCATCACCCCTCCCTACCCATCACCCCTCCCTCCCCCTTCTTTCCATTTATCTCCCCACCACCCCTCCATACCCCTACCCTTCCTCATTGGTCGTTTCCTTCATTAATTTGTTTTCTGTTTATTTTTATCTATTTTTCTTGTGTATTTTTTCTGATCTTTTAAGTTCACATTTTATTATTTATTTGGTATATTTATATTGTTCTTTTTATCTTCACATGGTTAAATTGTTTGTCCTATTATGTTTTCTTTGTTATACTTTTTCCTTTTTATTTTTCATCGTTTTAGTGATATTTTATATTTTAGTTTCGTTGTTTTATTATTTGAACCGTTAATTTTTAATATTTGTTATTATTTCCGTTTTTATTTTACATTTATTGGTTTATTATTCCTATTTTGATACTTATTATTTTATTGTTATTTTAAATTATTCTGATTAATTTTATTATTTATTTTATTTTTTTGTTAATGGAGGGTAATGAATGACCAGCGAGGTGTGAGAGGTCAACATCAACGTCTGGTTTATGTGTTGTCATGTTACGCACTTGGCCATAATTAAACTGATTAATTATTATTCTAGTTTAGTGAAGAAGTATCGTTGTCATATTACGCACTTGGCCATCATTAAACGGATTAATTATTATTTTAGTGTAGTGAAGAAGTATCAAGTCGAGGTTTTGTTAAGTTATTACGGAACGTGTTGTCACTCCTACGAGAAAAGACGAAATTAATGATTAATGTTTAACTTTATTAATTTCCTTCCCATATATTCATGACATTTTAAGTTAGTTGAAAATTATATAAACAACAATAATTGTTATGTGATGCGGGGCTAAAATACAATGAAAGTTTATGAGGTCGACGGTTGAGCCTGTGTCAGGTGTCTCCGGCGTCTCTCTCGTTCGCTCAAGTTTATTTTTTAAATTTGTTCCAAAGTTTTGAGTTCTTGGTAATAATACTATCATTATCGAGACTGAGGAAGTGGAAATTGTCGCCCCAGTGTGATTTTTATCTTCGTGTGGTAAGTACTAGTGCTGAAATATCTAATTTTTCTTATTTCTTCCAGAAGCTTCTGCGGGCGTTCAGATTTCAATACTATTATTTCCTTATCTTTCAAAATAATTTTATGTAACTTATAGTTCTATTAACTTTTATATATTTTTGTCTATTAACTATATTTATTGTATTATTGGGCGTTAATCTTTGAAACTAATGAAGACTATCAAGAGAGTGATATTTATTCCGTGACGTCATTGAATTGTTGGAGTATCTGGGTGCAGGATTTGTTCTCAGTTTGTTCTGATATTTTCGTGCTATAAGTGTATTCAAGTGAAATTTTATGTTTGAAAGTCTTGTAGGAAAATCGGTATTTCCCCACCCGATACGAGACTGGTTCCTTGCAGTCATACACAACAGATGTGCTCGACGCTACTGATTGGTTGATTCATTTAAATAGTGACGTTGGGAAAATATGCCTTCGAGAGTACATTTAACTAATATTTTTACCAGTATTATATACAGCTCAGATTCTAAGCTTATTTCAAGAAATATTATAAGTGTTTTTTGTGTTAAAGTCATGTATTAATAATTTATATATTATGCAGCAGAATAATTATTTTTTGTTAAGTTGGTGAGCGAGAGTGACGTAGGACCGTGAGTTCGTCTTGAAAAATATTCTGTAGAGATTATAGAATACATGTTATCATCTTATCCTTCAGGTTCATGAGGATCATTATATATAGCAATTAAAACGCGATATATTTATTATAATTCAGACAACGAAAGCCGCCTGTTGGAATATTTATATAATCCTTGGTACCGGACTCTATACCCTCCCTTGACAGTAGTCGCAATATACCCTTGTATGCGACTGTCACACACTCACTGACAGAGAAAATAAATGTTGCAGGGAAATAAAATACACAAAAATAAATGACAGAGGCATATAGTACACAATAAACTAAACTATACAACATCACTACAAACATGGAGACGCAATACAGTATTTTAGAACCGCACTTACCCGGAACTGCAACATGTAGAGGAGACAGACAGACAGACAGACAGACAGAAAGACATACACTCACCAACCACATGTAGGTAACCCATCTGTTTGCGGGCAGGTTTGGTGTTCAGCTGACACATATATATGCCCTGGTCCTTCTTGGTGAGGTTGGTGATGGTCAGTACCCACGCCTGTGCCTCCTGTGTTGTCGAGATCTTGGGGTTTTTAGTGACCACCTGCATCGCCATTGTCAGCACCGTGCGACCACCTGTACCTTTGTAGATCCACGCCACCTGTAGATGTAGAGCGGTGGTTAAGAGGGGAATTTAGGATGAGTTTAGGTGGAAAGAAAGATTTAATTTTAGTTGGTTACAGTGAGGTCACGTTTGTAGATCAACCACCGCCTCCTGTAGGATTGAAATGCCGAACGATATTAAGGTGATTAGACTTCTCTGTAGTGTTTCAAGTGTACATATGGTTTTCGTGTTACCTTATATACCTCCTCCATAACCCCAACCTTCCCCTTCCCTTCCCCATCACCTCTCCCTACCCCTTTCCTCCCTATCACCCCTCCCTACACCTTTCCTCCCTATCACCCCTCCCTACCCCTTACCTCCCCATCACCCCTCCCTACCCCTTACCTCCCCATCACCCCTCCCTACCCCTTACCTCCCCATCACCCCTCCCTACCCCTTCTCTTCCATATCACCCCTCCTTACCCCTTCTCTTCCCTATCACCCTCCCTACCCTTCTCTTCCATATCACCCCTCCCTACCCCTTCTCTTCCTATCACCCCTCCCTACCCCTTCTCTTCCATATCACCCCCCTACCCTTCTCTTCCCTATCACCCCTCCCTACCCCTTCTCTTCCATATCACCCCTCCCCTACCCCTTCTCTTCCCTATCACCCCTCCCTACCCTTCTCTTCCCTACCTCTTCTCCCTATCATCACCCCTCCCCTACCCCTTCTCTTCCATATCACCCTCCCTACCCCTTCTCTTCCCTATCACCCCTCCCCTATCCCATCACCCCTCCCTACCCCTTCTCTTCCCTATCACCTCCCTACCCCTCACCCCCTTCCCTATCCCTCTCCCTTCTCTTCCCTATCACCCCTCCCTACCCCTTCTCTTCCATATCACCCTCCCCTACCCCTTCTCTTCCCCTATCACCTCCCCTACCCTTCTCTTCCCTATCACCCCTCCCTACCCCTTCTCTTCCATATCACCCCTCCTTACCCCTTCTCTTCCCTATCACCCCTCCCTACCCCTTCTCTTCCATATCACCCCTTCCATTTAGATTTTACTGAGGCCTTTAAAGACTGGGGTTCATTTGATCTCCATCTCTGGTGGTTAAGTGAAAATCTAGTTGAGTTGAAGAGACGATAGACAAAGTTCTACCACCTCGTGTTTTAGTAAGATACAGACGCTACCTGGAGGAGAAAGACTTTGGTGTGTTTTTTCAGTGCTTAATTAGTGTTTTCTTGAGGAAGTGAAGGAAGGAAGGAAGGAAAACACTTGTTGAGGGTGTCACAGAGAGAAAGAAAAAAATGATTTTTTTTTAAGAGAGACAGCGAAAAGGGGAAAGCTTTAAGGTAAGGAGGAAGGAGAGAAGAAAGGAAGGGTATATGTGATGGAATGAGAATAAAAAGGGAAACCTGATGGAGAGATAGCTTAAGGAGAAAGAGAATCGCGGTGGGAAGAGAGAGAGAGAGAAAGTGCGACGGAGAGAGAGAGAGAAAGACGAGGAAATCAGAACGCATAGGAAAGAGACAGAAAATAAGATCCTATATGTGAATAAGCTAACTTGAAGCAGTCATAAACAAGGGTCAGTTGTAAAGGCGGAAGGATTGGTGTACTGTAGGTGGTGTTGAAGAGTAGTAGGTGATTAGGTAATACTAAGGGTTAAGAATAGGGGAATAGGAGTTGTTAGGTGATTAGGCAATGTTAAAATTAAAAATAGGGTTTAAAAAGATCATTAGATAATACTAGGGTTAAGAATAGGGATTAGAAAGGGCATTAGGTAATAGGGGGGTTAAGAATAGGGGTTATAAAAGTTATTAGGTAATACGAGGGTTAATGATAGGGGTTATAAAATAGATTAGATACCCTGTGTTTAGGTGAGATCTATGTGGTTCGTGGCGATGACAAACGTTCCTATTTTCACCTATATACCAACCAATGCCTTTCAGAAGTCCACACCACCTGAATCTAACAAACACTGGTGGGTGTAGGTCGTGTTGAAGCGCTGTTTTAGGGACGAGGTGAGGAGAGGAGGGGTGGGCTGTGTTGGGTGGTCGCTTCGGTTCCTAGTTATGTCCAGACGACCTATGAGAACATGAGTGATTGTTGTAAGGGAGAAAGAGGGGCAGGTAAGGGAGCCAGGGGTTGTTAGGTGTTTGGGAAGGGGGAGATGATGGTGATTGTTGTTGTTTTGTTGTAGGTAGATAGGGGGGAAATAATATTGGGTGGTTGTTGTGAAGGGGATGAAAAAATGAATGGTGGTGAATTGTGATTGTCAGTTTGGACGAAAGAAAGGGTGGTGGATTGTAGATATTATAGAATGGGTGAAAGAGAATTGTGTTTGCCGTGGAGGATGGGAGAGGGGAGGTGATGGATTGTGGTTGTTGTGGAGGAGGGGAGAGAGATGGTTATTGATTTTGGTTGTTTGTGGATGATGATGAACGCATCTAATAGGATAGAGTGCAAGACACACACACACACACACACACACACACACACACACACGAGGACAAACTCAAACGAGGGAGTCGATATATTATGAATTTACTCTTCAGTATCATCATCAAATATTAATTACTCTGCCATCTTTACAAGTCAGACTTCTCGGGATATTTACCTTACTTCCTTGGGTACACTGAGGCACCGTTGGAGTTTACTGGGTTTCATTGGGGTTCATGGGGATTCACTGGGGTTCGTTGGGATTGACTGGGGTTCGTTGGGATTCACTGGGGTTCATTGGGATTCACTGGGGTTCGTTGGGATTGACTGGGGTTCATTGTGATTCACTGGGGTTCATTGTGATTCACTTGGGTTCATTGTGATTCACTGGGGTTCACTGGATTTCATTTAATTCTATGGGCTTCGTTTTGGTATCATTTGCGTTTATTTGTGTATCAGGGATTACTTTCCTTCTCTCATTCCCATTCCCTGTTTTCTTCCCACTTTCATTCATCCTCATTCCTCTCCTTTCCTCTTTCTTTCATTTCATTCTCTCTCTCTCTCCCTCTCTCTCTCTCCTTCACTTCTTTTCTACCATTTCCCCGATCATTAAGCGTCACTCTATTCCCCACCCATTTCTCCTTACTCTCCTTTCTTTATCCTTTTTCCCTTCCTTTCCTCTTCACTGTACCTTGTTCCCCTTCCTCTCAGCTTACTACCTCTTCCTTTCTCCATTCCTAAGTTCCTCTTAACCTTCTATCTCTTCCTCTCTTCTGCTTCCTCTTCCTTTTCATTTCATCCAACCTTCATTCCTTTTCCTTTCTCTTCTCCTCCATTTCCTTCGCCTACGTATTCTCCCCATCTCCTTCTCCCTCATCATTTCACTCCCTCTCCTACTTTTCTCCATTCACTCCTCCTTATATCTTTATCACCCTCCTCCAACTCCTTCTTCCTCCTTCACCGCTTCCTTCTCTACCCCATTTACCATTTGCTCCAAAGGTGAAGAAAAATGCTGAAACTATTTATAAAGTAAACAAAAATTGAGAGAGAGCCACTGTAATTAAATCCCACGACACAGAAAATTTTTGACACTGAAGTTGATTTTCTTTTTTTTGGCGGAGAAAAAAAAATCGTCTTTGGGTTTGTAGACTTGTAAACTTTTGGCTGACGGACTTGGCTGACAGACTTTGGTGACAGGTGGAAGAAAATCCATAACTTCACCTGACACGTTCCCAAGCTGACACCACCGTTAAGGACACAGGTCAAAGAGGTCAAAATGGTATATATCAAGGAACAACGGGGGGGATATTTGGTGTTTATTGGGGAAAGTTTACTTGTTGTACAGTTTGTCGTATCGATCATTTTCCGGAGATTTAATTCGTGTGTGTGTGTGTGTGTGTGTGTGTGTGTGTGTGTGTGTGTGTGTGTGTGTGTGTGTGTGTGTGTGTGTGTGTGTGTGTGTGTGTGTGTCCCTTTTCTTTTTATTATTATTATTTTTTATTTTATTTCTGTTTTGGTATCTTTTTATTTCGTGTAAATATATGTGCTCTACTTTCCTTTGAATTCTTAATATGAATATTAATATATTCAAAATCTCAAATAAAATTTATTCAAAGTGACTTAAGAACCTTACCAAATACTGTAATAATAATATAATATCGTTCTAAATATCTTCACTACCTACGTGTCCTCTTGAAATTCGTTTACGGTATAATGTGACGCGTAATACGGGAGAAAAGGGCGGAAAATTGTGTTTTGAGAGCATGCATAATATTTAGGTGTGGCTCGTAGAGGGCAAGTAAAACCCTCCTAAAGGTCCGTGTTGTAATTTACTCTCTCTCTCTCTCTCTCTCTCTCTCTCTCTCTCTCTCTCTCTCTCTCTCTCTCTCTCTCTCTCTCTCTCTCTCTCTCTCTCTCTCTCTCTCTCTCTCTCTCTCTCTCTCTCTCTCTCTCTCTCTCTCTCTCTCTCTCTATCTATCTATCTCTCTCTATCTATCTATCTATCTATCTATCTATCTATCTATCCTATCTCTCTCTCTCTCTCTCTATCTATCTATCTATCTATCTATCTATCTATCTATCTATCTATCTATCTATCTATCTATCTATCTATCTATCTATCTCTCTCTCTCTCTCTCTCTCTCTCTCTCTCTCTCTCTCTCTCTCTCTCTCTCTCTCTCTCTCTCTCTCTCTCTCTCTCTCTCTCTCTCTCTCTCTCTCTCTCTCTCTCTCTCTATTTGTACTCATCTGGGCTCACGTTACGGATACAAACATTAGGATTAATCAACACTTGAAGAACCACCTCAGAGTCTGTTATCCTAGGATAAACATAAGATTAATTCTCACCAAACGTTCGTACAACAGCATCGTGTTTCAAAACTAAATGTTATGTAATTATTTGTTCCATTTTTTACTGAGACTTTATTCTAAAAACGTATACATTAAATTTATTCATTTGTAATAAGTTGCAATATTAAAATAGAATCCAAATTTACCTTTTTTTCTTATTTTTCACATTTTCATAAATGATATAAACAGTTGTAAGTATGTTTGTGTTTGTGGTGGTTCTGTAGTGTGTGTGTGGTTCTGTAGTGTGTGTGATGGTTCTGTAGTGTG